GAACAGAGTCTATCCTGGCAGTATCCGTGACAGGTCCTTATAGACCATTTGTGAGATAGCACCCCTGCTTTGCTCAATGTGTCTGCCTCCGTGTTTTAAGGTTCCTGCGATATGGATGGCTTGAATGTACACACTGCGTTTCAAGATCATGAACCAAATCAAAGTAGCTTCCTGGCATAAGCTTCTGAAGCCTGTACCCCTCTGGTTGTCTAAGTAAAACTTTGTGACTGTATTGTCAGTTTGGAGCAAAACAGATCAGTTCCAAAGAATATCTGCGAAACAGCTAAGAAGCACAACAAACTGCCCATAACTCTAGCAGATTAATGTGGAATTGCTTTTCATCGTCCGACCACTTTCCCTGTGCAGAGAATCCCTCGCAATGGGTGCCCGAACTTTACTGTGAAGAGTCTGTTTTGTGGATGCATTTGTGCTCAGGAGCTTCGAAGGAAATACCCTGTGATAATTGTCATGAGAAAGCCACCATGACAAAGAGTGGAAAACTAGTCTAGGAATAGAAAATCTATCATAATGAGGATGTGCATCTACTCTATACCAGGAAAGGATCCAGAGCTGTAGCGGCTGCATGTGAAGCCTAGAAAAGGCTGTAAAAAGGTAAAGGTTCCCTTGCTCGATAGACAGTCGAATCCGACTCTAGGGTTGCGGTGCTCATCTTCGTTTCAAAGCCGAAGAGCCAGCACTGTCCGAAGACGTTTCCGTGGTCATGTGGCCGGCATGACAAAACACCAAGGCGCACGGAACGCTGTTACCTTCCCACCGAAGTGGTACCTATTTATCTACTTGCAATTTCTTGCTTTCGAACTGCTAGGTTGGCAGGAGCTGGAACTAGAGATGGGAGCTCACTCCATCCTGTGGCACCCGGGTCTCGAACTGCTGAACTACTGACCTTCCACAGCCTGCAGTTCAGCGTCTTAACCACTTGAGCCACCGCAGCCATATAACCTAAGAGACAAAGGATTTTCCTAACCGATTGGAACCTGTTTGATCTAAATTGTTGCGCTACAGCAGAAATGGCTTGTATTCTCTTGGAAGGTAAGAAACCTTTTCCCGCCATGGAATCCAACGTAGCTTCTATGAATTGTACCCTCTGGGACGAGATTAAATGGGATTTCTCCCAATTTAGTAGGAGTCCTAGTCTCTGGCAGGTCTCTAAAACTAGGGAACAATGGCTTAATAATTGGTCTCTGGACACTGCCACAAGTAGTCAGTTTTCTAGGTAAGGAAATATCTGACAACTTTGTAAGCGTAGGTGTGCAATTACTGGGGCTAGACATTTCAAAAATACCCAGGGTGCCGTGGCCCAACCAAAAGGCAAAACAGAATATTGAAACACACACGTCCCACGCAAGAAGCCTAGGTACTTGCGGTGTTGCGGATGGGTAGAAATGTGAAAGTAAGCATCCTGCAAATCGATAGCAATGACCCAACAGTTAAACTTTAATAACTGTAACCCTGCGGGAATAGAAAACGTACTTGGAAATATGGAGAAAGAAATTCAAATCTCTGAGGTCTAAAATGGGCCTCGTTCCCTCACCTTTTTCATCTACTAAAAACCTTTGGGTGACTCTGATACTTCCTCGACACACCTTTTTCAATCAGAACTTTCAGGGCTTGGGACAGATCTGGTTAGAGACTTGCAAAGGTTTATTGCTGTACCCCTTGTGTTACTGTATAGCTGTCTGGTTAGAGACTTGCAAAGGGGAGGAACACGGAGGAACTGACCTGAACTCTGTGGAGTGTCGGCCAGCATCGGTTTGTGGCTTTGAGAGTTTGATGGCCTCAGCATGCAACACTTTGGCCAGGGGCCACTTGTCCTCAGGCAGAAGCTCCAGGAAAGTTAAGATTCTCTCCAACAGGAAGAGTTGGTATCCGGCCATAATAGTCTCGTAGTTGGAGATGTTAAAGCCCAACGCGGAGGAGGAATATCGTTTTTGACCGAGGACATCCAACTTCCGACCCTCTCTATCCGTTGGGGCAGAGTGGTAAGACTGATGGCCTTTAGGTTGCATTTCTTCCGTAACTAATGAGGACGGTGGAGGATGTGTCGTTAAGTAATGAAAAGGCTCTTTTTTAATTCTGTAGAACTGTTCTCCCCTTCTGGAAGTGTGCTGATGTGGGCTTTTGCCATAATTCCTGTGGAGTATCTTCAAGACCCTCCCGCACCGGAAAGGCAGTAATACAGGGGGAGTCTAATAGAGACGACTCAAATTCTTGTCCTTCGACGTAGGTTAGGAAGCGATGACTTCCGTCTCTAAGGACTGTGCCATACAGATCATCTGTTCTCCATACATGCGTAGATCTTCCGTGGGAGAAGCTGGAGAAGGCTCCCCCGCTCTCTCATCTGGACTCGGATCCGATGTCGTGTTGGATCCGTCCGAATCAATGGCAACATCCTCTCTCCTCTCTGCGAGTATGGGAGAGCGAGGTCTGCAGGACACTGTTGCTGACAGTGGGTACGAAGCAGAACAAATTCAGAGTCATCAGGTACGAAGCTACCTGATGATGGTAGGGGTAAGCGTTCATATCCCTGGGTCGATGGAAATTGTCACCCCATCCTTCCAGATAACCTGGGGAGACCATAGATGGATGCGAAGGCCATCGCGTAGGTGGCTGAGATTGCAACCATGGAACCATTACCATCTGCTCCAGTTTGGAATCATGTGGAACTTGACCCACAGGTAGACCCACTTCCACTTCCCCATCTGAGACGGATACCGGAGGGATCTTGGCCCCGGAGATGGAGTTCTTGGCTTCTCTTGAAGTGTTGGGGTAAGCTCACAAGTGTGAACAGGGGCCTGCTGTTGGGATGCAGATTTTGTTTCTCTTTTTATTTAGGTTTGTTCTCCATCTTCTTAGCAGGGGGTTCTAATGAAGCTCACTGAGTTGGAGGGGATCAGGATCCTGACGAGACCCGCTGAGATATGGATCCAGGAAGTGGAGCTGATTGTGTCAATTCCGTGGATGTTGCGACGGGTAGTTTTTCCGGAAGCGACTTGGGACGAGGGGTCCAAAGCTTTGAGAGCTTTCTCCCACAATGCTGCCTTTCACTTAGACAACCTACCCCCTCTAGACTCGGGGGTGAAACATTGGCAGGTCTCACATGTGGGGACGTTGTGCCCTTCACCCAAACAGAACGGACCTAAGTCATGTTCACCGTCGCCCCGCAGTGGGTGCATTTTTTAAACAGGACTTTCTGTTTAAAAGACGAAATCCTGGCGAACCAGCAATAATTCCTCACCAACGCGAGTAGAAGTGAAGACTCTAAATGAACGGCCTTGTCGTGGGTCCTGGCTCTGCTGAGGGTGACTACTCCTCAGATGAGGAAGAGGCAGGGCGCAACCCAGCCTCCTCTGGAGTCAGCCTAGAAGAAGAGCCCTCAACAGTACCTAAGGAGGAAGAGTTCCCAGCAGCTGCACAGGAGGTGCATCCAGAAGGAGAGACTGATCCTGCGCCTGGCCCAGCACCCCCAGTTGAAGAGACCCCGAGGCCAGATTTCCCAACGGACCTAAGTCATGTTCACCGTCGCCCTGCAGTGGGTGCATTTTTTAAACAGGGCTTTCTGCTTAAAATCCTGGCAAACCAGCAATAATTCCTCACCAACGTGAGTAGAAGTGAAGACTCTAAATGAACGGCCTTGTCGTTGGTCCTGGCTCTGCTGAGGGTGACTACTCCTCAGATGAGGAAGAGGCAGGGCGCAACCCAGCCTCCTCTGGAGTCAGCCCAGAAGAAGAGCCCTCAACAGTACCCAAGGAGGAAGAGTTCCCAGCGGCTGCACAGGAGGTGCATCCAGAAGGAGAGACTGATCCTGCGCCTGGCCCAGCACCCCCAGTTGAAGAGACCCCGAGGCCAGATTTCCCACCCAGTTCTCCTGAGTGCCCCAGATGTAGGGCACCTCAGAGGCTGACTATGCAGGAGCGAAGAACTGCCAGACTGCAGCTCCTGCAAAGGCAACAGGAGGAGCTGTGAGCCTTTGCAGACTGAACTCCCAGGGAAGGGAGGACCTGTTCATAAACAGCAACTGTGCATACTCCGGTCTGCCCTGGTGTGTAGCAACCTCTCCTTGTTCCTGATCCCAGCCACTTTGAACTGATTTCCCGGCTATTCGACCCTTGGCTTTGTTGTTCAACCTGATTCCAGATTGCGTTTCCAGCTAAGCAGCACAGGCCTTCTTCTTCAGCAGTAAAAGAGGAACTGAGGGTGGGGGTGCTGCTGCGCAGGAGCATGTGGTCCCTGGGCGAGAACAAGTTCTGGCTCCAGCACGCAGCGTCCCCTGGAGGCTGTTGGCTGTAAAACCGCTCCGATGGCAGGGCTGCTCGTGAGTAGTCCCCATGTGGGACTGCACAGGAGACTGGTGATGAACAGCTAGGTTCGAGTTCAGTAGCCCCTTAGAGACCAACAAGATTTCAGGGTACGCACTTTCGAGTGCCCAAGCTGACAAAGTGAGCTGTGTCTTCTTGGTCTCTAGGGTGCTACTGGACTTGAATCTAGGTTATGGTAGAAGATCGATGTCGAAGTACAGGAAGGGACTTGTGCTGCTCTTGAGTTCAAGAGGGAAAGGGAGGAGAATAATTGGGGTAATCTCTCTGGGGGACCTCACTGTCCAGGCAAAAAGGGATCCAATAGTGACTCTTGAGAGAGCATGACTAAAGTCCAGGGCTTAGCCAATGTAGTAAGTCCTGAACTGGGCATGCCTCAGGCTTGGTTGATTGGCTCCCAGCCTCGTGTTCTGATTGGCTGCGGGCCATGCAGAACTCATCCTGGGTGAGGTCAAACCCCATTTCCTGAGGACTCCATTGGCAGCCACTACCGGCAGCAAGTCATAACTTACTCCGCTGCTTTTGTTCAACCTGTGTTCATTGGCCTTTACGTCCCATCCTTCATTGACCATGGGGGTTACAGGGGATCCCTGGGGGTAAGGCAGGGAAAAGGATCGGGGACCCCTAAATCCAAGGTTCATTAAGAATGGGGGCTCGTCCACCCACCTTTCGCACAGTGATGATCCCGTCCTGCCCCAGCGCATCAGTATGGATAGTAAAAGCCTCAGCTCCGTCTCCTCCATCCAGGATGCTGTAGGCGAGCAGCGCATTCTCCCCTTCATCGGGGTCGTGAGCCCGCAGCCGCCCCACTGCAGAGCCGGGAGGTGCCGTCTCCACCACAGAAAACTGGTACGAGCCTGAGAATTGGTAATGGTATACAAAACATAGGAAACATTCATGCCCGTTTCAGAGAGAGACAACACAGCACATCTATATATCTAATAGCCAAGTTGCCCCCTCCATGTGGATATCTAAATCCGCACATCGGGGTCACTTAGGGGGCAGAGAGATTTTCCAGGTGTGCAGAAAAAACTAAAAAGTTGGGGGGGAAATATACGGGAGATATTTAAATCCCCCC